CTGTCCGACGTCTCCCTTCACCCACTTTTCGGTTGTCTGTCCCCAGGGAGGAGGTCACATATAGTTCCTTGTAATTGGTTCCCTCTTTCCTACCCATTCTCCCTCTACCCTCCCTGTTTCGCCACTCACACCACTGGTAATTTCTGACCCCTCCAGGTCAGCAACATCTTCCCTCACTCTATTTGAATCATCCCCTCCCATGACACACCTGGATATTGTCATCACCTGTAACTGCATCCAAAATCCTACCTGCCAGTGACAACTCCTTGTCCTTGACTTTTGCGTGTGATGGCAATTCCTTGGATTTTTCTAATTATTTGAGTCGTTTAATCTTTTAACCTCACTGTTTAACCTTTTATTAGCCTCACTTTCTTTCCTAGACATAAGATCTCCACTGTGTATTACTTCAAGGAGCCCAAACACCTTACAGATGCTGAATGAAATTGTAATCGTTTCTATGACTGCCAGTAAATGGAGTACCCGCAAACTTAGCACCTTGAAAGAGTGGGGACTTGCTATCTCGCTGCAGGCTGGAAACCTGAAAACTCTAAGGGTAGTACTCCTACCTCTGAGGTTCGAGAGGGAAAATCTCTACCTTCCATCCTCGTGTTTCTATTGGCCATCAGCATTGTGGGCTTCCTTGCAGCTGTGGTCATATCACTCCAATCTTTGCTTTGTCCTATCACCATCTCTCCTCCGGGTCTGGGTCTGTCCCTCTCTGTCTCTTATAAGGTTACTTTGTCATTAGGTTTAGGGCCCATCCAGGTAACCAAGGATGATCTTATTTCAAGTTCCTCAATTTAATCTGCAAAAAACCCTTTCCTCCTACGGTAACATTCACAGGTTGCAGAAATTTACATGGGGAGATATTTTAAGGGGAGCCGCCATTCAACCCACTACAAAGTCCTAGAAATCCAGAGCCTTAGATCAATTCTATAGTCTGCCTTGATTGCTCCCACAACTAAGTAGATGTATCCCATTGGAAGAGGGCATAAGCGGTCTAAACATGAAGAACCTACTATAGAGGGTTTTCTTTTTTAATTAGCTGGCCTGCCCTCTTATTTTATCAACACCTTTCCCATTCTTTGTTCATTTTTTTTTCAAGCATTTATTGATCTTCTTAAGCCCTCTACCCAACCTCTACCTACTTCATATGTGATGGTTACAGTCTGTCTTCCTCCCCTGAGAAAGCAAGTTATCACTCAACAACAGCCACTCTTCTCTTTGCCTTACTTTACTCAAAAAACAGATCTGTATGTTCGTTTACCTTCTTTCAAGTCTCAAAACTGGACCCCAATTCTTTCATGAAGTACCTCTTCTCTACTAACTCCTCCCTCTCAGGTCCAGAAACACCCAGGCACCAACCCACAGCATTTTAACGACAGCCACCTTCCCACTAACATGCCACTGAAACCACACATCAAACGTCATCAAAGGTTTCCTCCCCACTGTCAAATACAACCATCTTGGGTGCTTACATCTTTATTTTATGAGCAGGAAGCTAGTTCGGACTAGTGTGAATAGAGTTCGGGTTTCTTCTTCACTGGCTAGACTAGACTGACTACTTAAAGAACATGTTCTTTAATGCACACCGGAGTGCAGACGAAGGACACATACCTTCCACGCAGCGACAGCCCTCTTGTAGCACCCGAGCATACATATCCACTTTGGATTGCGAGAGGAGCTGGTCCCCAGTCAGGTACGTGTTATGAGAGGAAGCAATGTAGTAGTTGCAGAGGGGCTGATCCATGTCTTGAAAGACTTCCTGGTGCAGAGGGTTAAATACGTCACAAGCAGGACTACGCATGAAGCTGGTGAAGCCTTTGGGAAATGAGAGATGCGAGTCAAGTACTGTGGCTTTCAGAGCAGGTGTGCTTAAAGGACCCTAAGGGATAAGAGAGGTCAAAATGTGTTCAAAGTGATTCTCGACTGACCCTTAGGGCAGTCTTTGGGAGAAAACTGGGGCACGTAGAGATTTGCTTCAGGTCAAATAGCATCAGAGAACTGAAATATTGTTTTAGAGAAAAGCAGTTTAAACATAACCTTAAGAAAACTGAAGTGACTTTTTTAAAGTTTTGATTGGGTACTGAAAGGGCACTCACTACAAAGTCATTTAGTAACTGCTCAAACCGAGCTTTGATCACACTATGGCACCTCATGAGTGACTGAGGCCATGGTAAAGTCATAGTTACACTCGAGGTACACTGACCAGCCAGCAATATGATAAGTTAATACACTGACTTGAAAACGTATTGCTTACGTAACTATAAAACAGCATCGAGGCAGAGGTCAAAAGTCAGGCACAACCTAAACTCGGGCTGTTACAGTTTGACTATGAAATTGGTTTGAGAAGGTGCTGATAATGGCCAACACATTTTATTAAAGCAGTGTTTAAAGATGATATAAAAAACATCATTTTTCTACAATCTTTCAAATCATAATGCCTAAATAAGAGGCATGCAGTACTGTATGAATGAATGGAGGAATGACCCACAAGTACCTAAGTAGAATGCGTATTAGGGTAAATGGTTGCAAGTCCTTAAGATTTCAGTGGGAAAATTATATCTGTAAATACCCTCTGAGTCTCTGGAGGATGTCTTCCTTCCAAACACTCAGTCTCCGATATAAGAGCCACAGTTAATACTCTAATCCGGGGTCTTGCCAGCAGACAGGGTGCCTTTCTTAGCCTTCAGAGAAGGCTCCAATGAGTTGTTTATCTGCCCTGATTGCTTTCAAAATGGTTTCTAATGATGTAAGATTCTAAATTATTCCTTTTCCTCTTAATTACCCCAGAAAGTAAATTCAAATTATCAAAGACCTTCTGTGACAGTAGCCTGGGGGAAGAAGAGAATATGAAGCTAGCCATTAAAAATAGTAAGATAAACAATGGATTTGATTGCTACATGGGCAGTGAGGCTACCAGTAGTGCTTCATTAAGATGATCTTCTCTGGGAGATTCTCATTTTGGGTGGCAGACAGCAATTTATTTCCGTACATATTTTAAATGTGCATATTTTATCAATGCACATAATTACATCTGTAACATACTAGTTTATGTAAAATCCTCGGGGCTGAATTATGAATAGTTGACGGTGGGTAAGTGATTTCATTTGTTTGAGCCTCATTTGCCTCAAGTATAAAATAGCATGGTCATACTTGAGATGCGTTCCAGCAACCTGTCAAGCGCTCAAGACCAATCAAACTCAGTGCCCACAAGTTGATGACCGTATAGGATGGGATAGAGCTGAGAGCTGCCCCTGTGGGTTTTTGAGACTACAACTCTTTATGGGAGTAGAAAGCCCCATCTTTCTCCCTTGGAGTGGCTGATAGGTTCGAACTGCTGATCTTGAAGATCATGGCCAAACAAGTAACCACCACAGACTATAATGAGTCAGCTGTTAAAATTTTAGAAAAGTCCATTTACTTTCAAGTCAAGGAGCCCTGGTGGTGCAATGGTGAAATGCTCAGCTTCTAACTGAAAGGTTGCAAGTTCAAATCTGCCCAACAGCTCCCAAGGAAAAAGACCTGGAGATGTGCTTCTGTAAATATTAACCAGAAAACAAACAAACAAATCTGCTGCCACTGAGTTCATCTGACTCACACTGACACATACGGTGCACAAAGCAGTCAGTCCTCAGAGGAGCAGACTTCCACATCTTTCTGCCACCGAGAAGCCGGTGGTTTCACACGGCAGGCAAATATCCAAGCGCTGAGCTACCAGGGCTCCTCTGTCAAGACCACCGCTTAGAACACCTTGTGGGGTAGACAGGGTCTCTAGGAACCAAAAGTCAACTCAAGAGCTCGTTTTTTAGAATATTTATTTTAGACCTGGAATTTCCCTCATGAAATCATGAGGTTGAGGCCATTTCAACAAAAAAATAGTTATTTGAAAAAAGTCCAAATCATTGTTGGCATCCATCATGAGGGTAAGTCAAAAGTACTGTTATTAGTATTTCAGCCCATGCAAGCATGGGTTTTTTCCAAAGAAAACGTATTTAAACATATCTCTGCAATCAGTGGTTGGCTAACGACTAGTTCTCTCATAATACAAAAATCCAATCAAAACAGTGGCGACCCTGGGCTGCTGGGAGGACTGAAAAAGATGGTAGGACCCCCAAGACTATGGCCCTTCGTGTCTGGCAATAAACCCACCCGGGTGGTGGGAAAAAAAAAATCAAGCACATGAGATCAAAAGGGCAGCATTTACCCAATATCAAAGCTCAGAGGGCTAGAGGAGGAGGAGGGACAGAACCAGGAAAGAAAGGCTGTAAATAAATATATGGTAGTCCTGGGCTACCATTCCTTCGACATCCTCAGTAACTGTACATTTAGGAGACGACGATAGAGGAGTTGAAACAACAAGTGTGTGGATTTGAAGGTAGAACTGAGGATCTGCGCTGCCATACAACACTGTGCTAATAAAGTCACTCCTAGTCCACAGACCCTCCTTCATGAATGGTAAGTGAACCTTCCTGGAAATTCAACTCAAGATAGGTGACAGGGTGGGGGATTCTCAGAAAAGGTGGTTACACTTCTGTTGTTGGGCAAACCAGGTACAGCAATCTCCTATCGGGAAAAATACTTAACAATATTTACACAGAACTCGATGGGAATAATGTACCCAGTACTCTCTTCCTAATGGGAAACATTTGACATGGTTTCTATCTGGCCCTTGGTGACAACCCAGGCCCTGTGCTACATAGACTACTAAGAATTCAGACTCTAACCTTGAAGGGTGTACAACATCCTTCATGGGCTGAACCAGAAGGACCTGAGATAGAGACCCCACTAACTGAATGGGGCTTTACATCAAACTCACCTGTGCATACCTCCTGGGAGTTAAGGCTGAAATACCCTAGTGGGAGAAGAAGCAGATGGCTGCTATCTGACAGTTCTGGGATGTGTGGTGGGAAGACTTTGGTTCAGCAGATCACTTGCTTTGAGGATGTCTAATGAATGGTAGCCCAGGACTACCATATATTTACAATTTTAATGCTTTCTTATGATGTGTATTATTCTAGTAGGCATGATTCTGCCTTTGTGAATGAGTGCTATTGAAAGTTTCACCCTATCACCAACCCCCTTTGTGTAAATTGTGTCCGGTCACTTAAGAGTTTACTCTATACAAGTGAACAATTCATGTACTGGAGTCTAAAATACCACCCTATACTTGTATGATTTCCTATTCTCAACGGTGTTTTAAATTCTCTACCATTGACTATATTAATGACACTATCAATACAATCACCAGGAACCCTTGGTAGCATAGTGGGCTATGCTGCTATGCATTCAGCTGCTAACTGTAAGGTCGGTAGTTCAAAACTACCAGCTGCTGCTTAGGAGAGAGATGAGGCTTTCTACTCCCTTAAAGAAGTACAGTCTCAGAAGACTATGGATGACAGTGGGAGCCCAAAATACATTTCCAGGACCTACACAGAGAACAAGCCTATAGTGATTCCCTTATGACTATAAGTAAGAGATGCAAATAGTCTGGTTATCAGACAAAGCGTATTTGACAGATGATTATTGTAGATTTAAATGATAAATCTGACTTGAAATATTAAAAACCTTGTATTTTGATCTCCCTTTGGATATACTTTGAGCTTGATCTGATTTTTAATACTTTCTAGGTTTTTTGTTTATTTGCTTCCTTGTTTTCTGATTGAGACTTATACCCTAGGTGATTTATAATGTTCTCTATCATAAAATAAGGTAACCAGATTTAAAGTGGGACACTATTGACGGGGTGGGGGGGGTTCTTGATTAAAAATTTGGTCTATATGGACCAAATAGACTGTTCCCTAGCTTGTCATGCATTCTTTCCAAAAATTGCGACTTTTTTTAAAACACCAAAAATTGGGACTGTCCCACCAAAAGCGGGATGCCTGGTCACCTTATCATAAAATGATAATGATGTCTCTAAAGGAAACCAGGGACATATATAAACATAGATACAGTATAGGAATGTATTTGAAGATCGCACTTAATTCTAGCCCCAATCTAAGAACAATTAGTTCTTACAACATGACTATACTCAAGACCAACGTTCATGGAGAGATCATTGAAGATATGGGTGCTATAGCAAAGTGTGGTGAAGATACTAGATGATGCCTGGCTATCAGAAAGAAGACCAAATCTATTTGCAGGTGCACACATGGAGGAAGACTCCCGTGAATCCCCTCTGACCATAGTTCATGGATGTGAACAGCCTGGCTATCAGACAGAGTGTTTTAAAATACTATTACAAATTATAGCAGATATAATTAGGCTAAATTGTAATACCTAATCGGTTGTCTTCCTTTTAACCCATTTTTAAGTTGTTTCAGTTTTTAATATTCTCAACTTCTTTTCCAATTAGAGTTTTTTTCTCTTTTGTTTTGTTATTGTTGTTGGCTTTGTTTGTTTGGGTGTTTGTGTTTTGTCTGATTTTCTGTATATGAAACCCAGGATAGGTAAATCTATAGAGATTATAGTAACTGGATTAATAACAACCTAGGGGCATGGCAGGGGAGGTTGTGGGAAAGTGGGGAGCTAATAAACCATGAGTATGAAGAAAATGTTCTGACACTGACTGGTTGTGGTGATGGTTGCTTGGCTCTTTTTTTGTTTTTTCCAAAACGAAATTTTATGTTGCACCTTTTCAATATCATTTGCTTTAAAAGATAATTATGTTATATTAGAAGAGTGGGCTCATTTATAAGCAGTATACATTTTTTCTTATGAAAAAGAGAAATTACCAAAACATTAGTGCTTTAAATAATGTGTGAATGAAAGAAATATCAGAGCCTTTCCTAGAGCTTTCCCATTGCCCAAGTATCTTATTGATTCTAAGGAAACCAACTGGAGCCCGGGAGTGTTCCATGTCGCTGCAATTTAAAATGCAAACTCTTGTAATGTTCGCAGAGAAAATAGGAATGAGGGTTCAAAAAGTCTGTGGAATAAATGGAAATAAAAGGAATGAAAATGTCCATAAACTTTTGGTCATTTATTTGCCTTAACCAACTTAGAAGGACAAAATTCTAGGCATAAGAATATATTTTCCCAAAAAAATAAAAAAGAATATATTTTCTCGAATGTTCCTTATTCCCCCTCCCCCACCCCCCAAAAAATGGGACTTGGCAAGAGCATGGAGCTTGAAGTTGCTGTCTGTGGTGCAGAGCACTGGGCTAGGGCCTGGCTCCCACAGCCAGTTCCCACCGCTCACATCAGTCTTGTCTCTGGGAACCAGAATGGGCCGTGTTCCAAGGAGGGGTGGGAGGGCCCTGCTAAATGAAGCACCCATCCTTGCCACTTGAAAAATTCTTTAAAGTTTGAATATTCGAGTAACACTGACCAAGTCTGTGCCTCAATGTTCCCTTTCTAAAAAATCACGCTTTGGTTTTTTTGTTGTTCTGCATGTTTCTATTTAGCCATTTAGTATAGAAGTTAAATCGTGATTATCTTCCCAGAAGGAAGAAGAACAGGTCTTCAGAGGCACCTCTCTTCTTTGTGTCTGAAAGGTCAATGCTCATAAAAGCTTCTGCCTTCTCTTCATTATGAGCCTGCCTTGCTGAATAGGGGATTGCCTTGACTCCAGTTCCCTGAGGGTGTTTGGACAATGAAAAGTCTTCTCCCCTTCCAATTGATCATAATCTGAAGGTTCTCTGATCAATCCTGAGTACTTTCACTTCCGGGAGAATGAAGAAAACATCAGCACTAAACTTAAAGCTGCTCATCCAAAAAGTGAAACAGATAGGATTGTAAGTCATCCCCTAGGGTTTCAATTCCACTACATGGAGGGGCTCGGCAGTCCCAGCATCTGCCGCGTAACTAAAGATGGCCACTGTGCACTGCTACAACGCTCCCTCCTGAGCCGATCCCCATGCATGTAACTGAACAGCAGCTATGTGACCCAAAGACTCAGACTTCCAACTGACTGGAGGCACCGCCATCTGCATCTGAAATTGTAATCTCCGACATCTCTCCTTCATGCACCCTAATCGCAGCACTGACCACTCTACTTCTGCCCTTCACCTGCCTGCACTACTCTTCTTAATATGATGGAATTGTGTGATATGTGAATTCTATGCCAACAAAACTTTTAATTAACAAAACAGCACATGCTTTTAATCCTTTAAGTATGTGCTACAGCCGCCATTTTCACTTGGTATAAATCAAAGAATACAGACTGCTTTCGGGGAGGGTTAGAGAGACAGGAACACTGCCTTCAGAAATGTATACCTTTACAGAGAGGCTATGTCAAGAAACAGTAGCTTCCTATTTTGCTGTTTTTTGTTTAATAGAGGTTTCTACAATTTTATAGCAATCCTTTGTGATCTGCCCTTCGACACAGGTGCATTAAGTGGGTCTGCTTGAAGATGAGGAGGCTCCATGTTACTGTAAAACGAAGAAAACGTACTAGCACAACACCCCACCACAGAAAAATGAGAGTGTGTGCGTGGGTCTCTAGTTTTCTTTCAATTATCTGTCATGCTGTGGCTGTCTCCTGATTTCTCTTCATAAAACATTTGCTGGAACTTAATACAGTAGACTAAATTGAGAAATTAAAAAGATTAATAGTTTACCTTCTATGCCAAGGACGTTTTTGGCTTTATTTTCTTCGGACACTTCAAACTTCCTTATGATGTCAAGACAACAGTCTGCCGTCACGTTGCTCATCTAAATGAAACAGAGTTAGGACAACACCTGCAATTGTCGCTTAGCCAGTCGTTTCATTGATTTTTGTTTTAAAGACGGTGTGGTGTTATAGAAAGCCTCGTAGATCTGGGGCAGTGAGTCTGAAAGGCTGTCTCCTCTCTAACCGAGGACATAATGCTCCATTGTCCCAAGGTGATTCTATCCATGCCCTGACTAGCGGATGGCTGACTTTCTTTCCTTTGGAACACATCCAAAAATGTGCCGGAGTAACACACACACTTAAACAAACTTCTCGGTATCAAAAATGCAAGGATACTGAATCCGCTTCTGAAACGGATCTTGTATTGTCAGTTTTGTTGTAAGGTATGTGTGTCCTTGTAAGACAAAGCTAGTCCATTTAGCGCTACACTGCAAAACGAGTGCTGATTTTAGAAGCACTCTTGAAATAGCACTAATGGACAATGCTTGAGTTAACCATTTAAAGCGCTTTCATCCTTAGAAAAATGAGCATGATCTCAGTCTATCCATTTTTCATATTTAATCAGTGAAAACAGGCCTCCACACACTAGATAAATGTTCTCCAGTAAGTACTAAAATGAAATCAGTGATCAGTACAAATCCATTGCCAAATAAATGTCATTCACTATAAGCTAGTAGCTGTATGCAAATTAAGGTTTCCTGTCTACTGTAAATACTGGGTATTTTGTAAAAGATAATCAGTCCCTAGTAAAATAGACTATTTCTAGGTAAATTCACCTGTGTGTGCACCAATCTCTACACCCCTCCACTGAACCAGAGTCACCTGCTATGGCACTTCATAACCTTTCATTGTCTCCTGACAATTCCATCCACCCCCACGTTAGAGGAGATCCGCATCTGTTTCCTTGTAACACCTCCCGAATGGTGCCAGAGTGCGATGCTTCCGGCTTCACGTTGTAGCTAACTTTGTGTATGGCTAGTCTCTTCTGCTAGCCGTCAGTTCTTAAATCCATTGCTGACTTGGGGCTTACCACTATAGTCTAATGAAAGGATAAGTATACATAACATGTGCACTTACATAATAAGTAGAGACGTTTCCATGAGAATTGTAAAATTAAAATTAAGTGACAAGTCCCAAACCAACTGCCAATGAGTAGATTACATTTCACCGCCACCACAGGGGACACAATAGCACTGCTCCATATGGTTTCCAAGGCTACAAATCTCTATGGAAGATGACTGTTTCATCTTTTTCCTGAGGAGCTCCTGGTGAGTTTCCATTGCCAATGGGTTTGATCCACTGGCCTCATGATTAGCAGACTGATGCATAACCCACTGTGCTACCAAGGCCCCTTTAAAAGACAATGAAGGCTGAAGAGCCATGGAAATCATTCAAGTCCATATGGTCAGCTAGAGTGCTCAATGGAATGGACGGAGTGCCCAATACTGCAGATGTAAAAGAAATCCAAACACGATATTAAAGAATCCAGATTTTGTAATACTATAGTGGATTGAGGTCATATTGATAAATGCTTATTTGACAAACATTTTTGCAAAAACTATGTAAGTATAACACCATTGACATTGCTGTAAATGATAATTCAACACAAAAATATTTTTCAAAAAAAATCCATTAAAAATATTCTAAGGTCCTAATTAAATGTGATATTATTAAAACCATCTATAATCCATAAAAGAACTCCATTCTGTAAAAAGCAATCAGACAAGAGTAGTACAAAGTCATAGATGTTGTTTTATTGTGCTTCGATTGTGCACAATGCTGGGAAAGAGTCAGGGAGGAACAAGTTAAGTATTTAAACTCACTGCCGTCAAGTTGATTCCAACTCCGAGCGATCCTGTAGGACAGAGTGTAACGGCACCCGTGGGTTTCCAGTCCCAATAATGGTGGAGCTATTGCTAACTGTCCACTCTTGTTGGCTAACCTTAGGAAAACTGGTAACTTAAAAAATAAAATGTTTTGAGACTTTCATAAATTTTCTTAAAATATTCAGAATCATTCAATTAAAAAATCAGAAATGGAAAAGTAAAAATGTAATTTTTCATAGTTGCCTATATATTTCCAGACCTCTTACTTGTCAAATTACTTCTAGACTAGCTGTTTTCCCAGACTTAAAGACTATACTATGAAAAGAGGATAGAAATAATCAAGTAGAAATACAGTGTCTAAGAAACGTGAGTAAGGAACAATGGAAATGTTTGTCATCAATAGCATTGCAAAGATTCAAACTGTCTTATTCTAAAAAGCATGCTATAAGCAACTCTAACATCTAACCTCGTGAGAAAACATAAAGAAATGCAAATAATATTAAAGCATCATATCTCCATTCTCCACATTCATAAATATGGTCAACCCAGGGGACCAAACCAAGGGTCATCCAAGTCCAAGCAGCCTTGCCATGTGATGATGAACTTAGACATTAGGGGCCAACAAAACTAACTACGCCTCTACACATCCTCCCACCATATCATCATTTGTGCTAAATAAATACTCAGTGTCTAAATGACTCTGACCATACCAATGTTGAATATCATTGAGTATAGAAGAGGAATTGTGTTACTGATTTAATATAAATAAATATATTTGTTGTGAATAAAATTACCCTTCTACTTTGTCTTTTTCTGTAACTCTTAATATTCAGTAGTAAGCCTCCTAAGTAAATCCATTAATCTCCTTATCTTTGCCTTCTATCTTTTATTTCTTTTGCTTTTATTGCTTTTGATTTTATTCTTCTACTTCCTGGGTCATTTTTTCAACTTCATCTAAGGCATCTATACATTTTCTTCTTTGCTTTCATATTTTTATTTTCCAATAGCTCATTTCAACTTTGAATCTCCCTTAAACATCACATGACTACTCTGAATCTCCCTTAAACATCACATGTTGTTATTGTTTCATGGCTGCATTTTTGTTTTCCTATCACTCTGATGCTATTCATGGCAATGTCTAAAATACCCTTCCTGCTGCATTGCCTGGTTTTTCCAATTTGCTTGTTCCTGTTTCTCTTAGTATCTGGTCTTTTCTGTTAGGCACCCTCTCACACATGTGGTGGCATTTGGCTATATATTTATATAGGAAAGTTGTTTGTGGGTCAGAACCACAGAGACCTTATGTACAACAGTGCAAAACACTGCCCAGTCCTGCACCATCCTCACGACTGCTCCATGCTTGAGACCATTGCTGTAGCCACCACGTCAAATCCAGCTCCTTGAGGGCCCTCCTCCTTTTCGCTGCCCCTGTTCTTTATCAAGCATGATGTCCTTCTCCAGGAACGGGTCTCTCCTGGCAGCATGTACAAAGTAGGTAAGTTAACAAGAAGATGGTTTGAAACTGTATTCATGAACAGTGCTTAATGAAAAGTGTGCTTCACTGTAAATTCACTGGCTGGGCTCCTTATTGGGAGGTCGCTGATGTGAATATCTTTCTTTTTCTTTTTCCCCGTCGACTAGTAATATTCCCACCATGAAATTATTCCAATCCCTTGCCTGGAGAAGATAAGCCTGGGAGCTGTGACTGGAAGTGCAATAGAGTTTTCACAGTTCACTGCACAGACATTCCCTTAATCTTTACATTTATTATCTATTTCTGTGAAACAAGTCAACCAAAACTTAAGAGGCTTAAAACAAAAACCACTTGCTTGATCATAATTCTGTCAGATACCAATTGGCATTGGGTTTAGCTGGACAATTACCCTGCAGGCTGCATAGAAGCTTAGAACTACAGCCGTCTGTTACCTTGACAAGTGAAATGGTCAAGATGGCCTCACCAGCAGGCCTGAGGTCGGTGCTAGCTTTTGACGGAGGGCTCTTTCTCTCCTTTAATATTGAACACCCCATGGACTACCAGCAGAATGAGCAGATCTCTTGGAAGAAATACAGCCAGACTGCTTTCCAGGAGTGAGGATGACAAGATTTCATCTCACTCTCCTTGGTCGTGTTTCTCAGGAGAGAAGTCCGTGAAGAAGAACCTCATGTTTGATAACATAGAAGGTCAACAAAAAGAAGACCTTGAAAGAGATGAACCAACAGTGCTCTAGCAGTGAGATCAAAGTAACGACAGTTTCAAGGCTGGCCCGGGGCTGGGCGGCATTCTGTTCTTTTGTGCAGAGGGTTACTGCAAGGGGAACCAACTCAGCGGCACCTAGCAGCACGTTCCTTTTGTTGCTGCTGTTGTTGTTGTTAGGTGGTGCTGGCAGTCTATTTCAACTGGCCACAACCCCAAGCACAAAAGAAGGCAACGCTGCTGGGTCGGAGTAGTCCTCACAATTGTCGTCGTTGCAGCCATTGTGTCAATGCATCTGATCCAGTCTATCAGAGGTCTTCCCTTTTTCACCGCCGCTCATCCTGCTTTACCAGTAGGATGTTCTTCTCCCGGAGCTGGTCTCTTCTGACAACATGTCCAAGGTATAGGAGACAAAGTCCCTCCATCGTCACTTCCAACAATCATTCTATTCTGGCTGTACATTTCTCTATACTATCTTATTTTTGTTAAAAACAACAAAGTTCCTAGGTTTCCTCATGGGATGGTCTCACAATTCCCAATGAGCAAGAGTGAAAGCTTTAAGTCTTCCCTGACATCTAGGATCCAAAACTTGTATATCCTTTCCACCATAGTTTATTAGTTAAATCTTGTCACCAGGGTAGCCTACATTCAGGGGGTGGTAAATAAGCTCTTCTTGATGGATGGAAGGAAAGGCTAAGTGACATTGCAAAGAGACACATCTATAGGGTTTGAGGAGTTCGCACAGCCATCTTTTTCAAGAATCAACCACAACATGCATGTCTTCAGTACTGGATTCATACGAGGTTGTTCCTGGGATCCCTGAATCTGGATTCTTCTGGTTCACATCTTTCAACGTCACACTGTCACCTTTATGTCAGAGTGGATGAAGGACAGTGGTCCTGCACAGGGCAGGGAAAGTGATCACGGAGCCCTAACCACTTCTTAAACACCTTTTCAACCCCGCCTGGTGGTTGCGGCCCTTCGGTCTCTCCGACTTTCAGGAGCACCATGTGACTTTAAT